AAAATAAAAAATAAAAACAAAAACTTTTTTTTTTTTTTTTATGGAGGTCACCGCTGGGTGAGCGGCCGTTGTCTGTCTCCAGCTTAATTAAATAAATTTATTTATTTTATTTATTTTATTTTATTTTATTTATTTTATTTTATTTTATTTATTTATTTTATTTTTTATTTATATAAAACAATTAAACCCAACAAAGCAGCAGCAGCAGCAGCAGCAGCAGCAGCAGCAGCAGCAGCAGCAGCAGTATGTCTCTTCTGTCTCCTGTTGTGTGTTGAGGGGGGCCCCCCAGCTGCGCTCCCTAGTAAGAATAAATAAAATAAAAATAAAAAATAAATAAATAAATAAATAAATAAAATAAAATAAAAAAGAATAATAAAATAAATATTTTATTTTTTTTTTTATTTTTTTTTTATTTTTTCTGGCGATGTTTTCTTTTTTTTTGAGTTTTTTCGTTGGTAATATAAAATATAAATTAAATAAAACAAAAAAAATAAACAGAAACAAAAACATAAACATATATTTATATTTTTATTTTTATTTTTATATATTTTATTTATCACCGCAATGGGGTGTATGTGAGCCTTTCTGTACATACAACAATCCTGCTGCAGCGGAACCAGCAGCAGCAGCAGCAGCAGCAGGAGCAGGAGCAACACCACCAGCAGCAGAAGCAGCAGCAGCAGCACCAGCAGCAGCAGCAGCAGCAGGAGAACCAGCAGCAGCAGCAGAAGCAGCAGCAGCAGCAGCAGCAGCAGCAAACTGTGGTTTTGTGTGTCCTGATCCTTGGGGTAAAGAGGATCCGCATGCATGCGGTATGCTTCCAGATCCTTGCTGCTGCGGTGGAGCAGCAGCATGCAGTACAAGAGAAGCAGCAGCAGCAGCAGCAGCAGCAGCAGCAGCAAGAGCTTTTGTTGGGGTTAACTGGTCCGATAGATATACAAAAATACCCAACAAGAGAGAATATATATTTTCGTTGCTGCAGCAGAACGGCATAAAACATATAAAAACCTTCAGCCCCGATGGCCTCGCTTCTATATATAAAATATATAAAAAAAACAAAGAAAAAAACAAAAAAAATAATAAACAAAACAACAAAGACACAGAAAAAAATAAAAATAAAAAAGAAAAAGAAGAGGATGAGGAGGAGGATATAAGTGTGTATGTAGGCATCCCCAATAGGTTGCTGCCGCTGCTGTCTTCATCAGCAGCAGCAGCAGCAGAATATATAAAAATAAATATACTACCATATATAAAAATAATAAAAATGATTATAGTCGGAAACGAACCGTTAATATGTATAAAAACAGAAAGATGGATAGAAGCAGGAGAGTGTGGGTCTCTGCTGCTACCACTAAAGCTGCTGCCGGCGATGAAAAATATAAAAAAAAGTTTAATTTTTTTCGGGTTTTCTTCTCTTCCTGTATCTACAGCTCTAAATGGTGGTATATTAAGAATGACAGACAACCCATGGACACCATGCAGCAGCAACTATCGTGCTGCAGTGCTGCCGCTGCTGCAGCAGATCTGGGATTTCTTGCTGCAGCAGCAACCTGCTGCTCCTTTTATCGTTAATATATATTCATGGTTTGCTTCTATAGGAGGACATATACCTGTTCGAGCTGCTGTTGGTGCTGCACCTGACCCCTTCTCTTCTCCTCCTGCTGCTGCTGCTGCTGCTGCTGCTGCTGCTGCTGCTGCTGGGGAGGATGGGGAGGAAGAAGAAGATGCAGCAGCAGCAGCAGCAGTGGAAAGGGGGCTGTTATCTTCTGTGTCTGCTGCTGCTGCTGATGGTGTCTTTAGATATTTATTTAATTTTGATATGCAGCTAGATATGCATCGTATTGCTTTATGTAAAAATAAAAAAAAAGAAATAGATATATGGGTGGGGGAGACAGGATGGCCAACAAGAGGAAATATAAAAGCAAATAATATAAATGCATTTATTTTTTATATAAATGTTATAAGAAGAGCAAAAGGTTTATC